GGCGGCCTCCTACAGGGACTCGGACCCCTCCTTGCCGCCAGCCCTGTTGTGTGAGGGGAAAATTGCCCCTAGCTGACCCTCAGAAATTTATTTACAAGAACTTAAAGGGATATCTTGGAACCAAGGACCCTCTTTGAATAGAGAGTATTTAAAATGCATGAAATAGGCTCAATCCCTGGCCCCGGTCAGGGCGCACGGGGGAGGCAGCCGATCGAGGTGTTTCTGTCACATCAATGTTTCTCTCCCACTCTCTCTCTCCCTTCCGCTCTTTCTGAAAAGCAATGGAAAAAATATCCTTGGGTGAGGCTTAAAAAAATTTTAAAAATCAAGTGTATTTATAATCATCAAATGCACTGTCGCTGGGAGGGCAGAGCCTGGGTTCGGATCCTGGCTGCAAATGTGTGTCTTGGGCACGCTGCCTAATGTTTCCAAGCCCCCGTTTTCCCAACTGTACCCTGAGGGTGACAATATGTTCGTGGCGATGCCAGGAAAGGCGTGTGAGACGCGGAGCTCCGCAGGCGAGCTCTGCCGAATGCATGCAGACGGCGTCCCGTCCGGCACACAGTAGGCGCTCAATAAAAGCTCCCTCCTCCTGTCCTTCCCAGTCTTTCCCACCGCAGCCGAGTAAGTCAGCGAAGCCTACGCATCTTACAAAAATCCTGCCCTTAAGGGAAGTGACTTAATGAAATATTATCCCATGAGCGACAAATGGCCACATACTTAACCGGACACAGGTAAAGGTCAGAGCCATCCCTTGATGGTTGTTACGGAACAGATTGCAAACGAGCTCTTCAAGGGAAAAGAGAAAATCAGGAGGAAACAAGGGACCGATCGGACGTTTGTCAAGTCTGATTAACGCCCAGTTGCAACGGGGATGTCAGCTGAGTCCCGGGCCCCTGTCCCTCTGGACGGCGAGGGGTGAGCACGTTGCGTGTGTGAGTCCTTCAGGGTTCTCAGGGCTTTTCTTTCTCAGTTTGGGAAGGACCCAAAGCGGGGCGCGACTATGTTTCCTGATAATTCAGATGCCGAAAACAATCTTCCTCCTGAGTAAATTAAACGCCCTGTCACGTCTCCAACACGACGGGTGGAGCTCGGAGTGGAGGGGACCCCGTGTTAAAAAAGGGACGTCACTCTAAGGGACTCCCGCTCACGCTGGAAAAGGGAGCCTCGGTCACATTTCAAAAATTGCGCACAGGACGTGGGACGAAAGGTTAATTTGGAAAGGATGAGCGATGCAACAAAGAATCGCGCATTTCTTGCTACATAGTTTCCAATCGCGCATTTCTTGCTACATAGTTTCCCATATTTAAAAAATAAAAATTGCTACTTTTTGGCACTCGTCAGTCCCCAACAGCTCAGTCAGGAGACGCAAGGTTGTGTTTATTAGAAAACGGCAAGAGCTGAAGTTTAACGAGTTCGGGAGAAGCACCCGCAAATTTAGGCGCCTGAGTGGAGAAACGGACTTTCCCGGGTTTGCGGAGTCGTCTC